ATATCAGCTTAAAAATCTTGAATCTTTGAAGATCTCAAAATATCTTAGAATTTGGTGTGTCTCTGTGAGTTTGTGTGAAACCTGATGACTCATGCTATATCAGCATTATGACAATGTTCCAAAGAGCTTCTGATGGTGTCACAGAATACTCAGCTTTCTCAGTCTCAACTGGTAGTCTCCTTTTTCAAGTAGATCTTGCAAAAACTTCAAGGTTTTGGTATCATTATCCTGCTACAGTGGGAATCCTACTTCAAAAAGATAAAACCAAAGGGTACAGTATGTCACCTAAGAATGGAGAGGTACTTTGGTTCAGGTTGTGGTCACATCAGTGCAGGTGAGTAGAAAAAGCTGCCCCAGACTTAAATATTTCCACCACCATGTTTCACTAAAGACTTGATACACTGCAGCATGATTTTTTTCTCCTACTGTCTCATAACACACACCCTCCTGTGCTCTACTGCCATTCTTCTCAAACATCAACATCATCAGTAAATCCCACTATACCTCAGTCATTCACAGTGAAATACTATTCTTTCTTAGCCCAAACCAAATGTTTGACCTTGTTTCCCTCCTGTGAAGTGGTTTATAAACTTCTACTTGTCCTCTGAGACAAGTTTTTTGACAGTTCATTTGCTGAAGTCTTGCATTCTTTGTTTATCAAACTTTTCATCTGTAATTGAGTTAGTTTTCTACCTCCCATGGAACTAAGCTTGATGTATTGATTTCCTGATTGTGTGGTCACTTTTGCCCTCTGACACTTTCACTTACAACCCTAACTCAGACAAAGTTGGGACAATATGGAAACTGCAAATAAAAAAGACAGCAGTGATTTCTAAATTTAATTTGACTTGTATTTTATGTTTTGTCTGCTCAACTTAATTTTATTTACAGTATATATATATATATACATCTGGCTGAACGGCAGGAATGCCAAGTGATGAAACGCTTTTTCACTTGGTGTCTTGAGTTCTTAAACGTCTTTTAAGTGTTGTGAAAAGGAATGGCAACATAACAATGTGGTAAATGCTTTACTGTCCCAACTTTTTTTGAAATATGTTGCAAGAATCAAAATTGAAAAAAGCGTTTATTTTGAAAAAACAATAAAATTCATGATGTCAAACATCAAATAACGTGCTTTTGTATTTTTTTTACTGTAATATAGGTCAAAGATGATTTATTAATCACTGTTCTTAGTTTTAATTTTAAATATAACATGCCGTTCCAACTTCTTCTGATTTGCGGTTGTACTTTAAGTGATAAGCTGCTGAGGCACCGCCCTATTTATAAGAGGTGAACACTGGCTGCAAGTTGCTTGAACAAGCCTTTGACAATTAAATCCAACCCAGCTGCATGTCACATGCTTCAATGGAAATCTGATGTTTTGTATAGGAGTTCAGTTGGGCAATGCCCCACATTTGATAAAATTAGATTTGACATAGAAACAGAGCAGAATATTACATATTTCTTCATCTCACATGAAAGAAGTTGTGTTTTTAATGTTTTGTAGTAGGCAAAACCTCTGATAATTTCCAAGCAAAGCAGGGTGGCGTTAAGCTCAGCTGGTACTCTCTCTCTTTTACAGCTTGCTCTCCTTCCTATCAATTAAGGGCAATAAAAAGCACCCAAAATATACTTATAAAATAAAAACAAAGCAAAGACAAACAATTGTTGAATAACAAGAATGTTTATCTTCACAACTTGAAAAAGGCATCATGGTTAGAGGCAATTCTGGTAAAACTAAAATAGGTTAATCTTTGGCAAACAAAAGGCTGTTGTAAATATAAATGTGTAAATGAAAAATACAATCTACAAATATGAAACATGCTTAATCATTATAAGTGCTATGATTGAGGGAACAAAGTAGACGGATGTGGCTCAGGAGGTACAACATATCTTCAACTAGCCAGGTCGGTGGTGGGATGTGGCTCCATTGGACTGGAGGAGCCCAATCCCTGGCTCCTCCAGTCCAATGGAGTGTCCTTGGTCAATGCACTAAACCGCCAAATTGCAGTGTGTGAATGATAGAAAAAGAGCTGTGTATAGAAGAACAGTATGAATATGCATTTGAATGGGGGACTGAGACTTGTATTGTAATGCGATTTGAGTGGTCAATACGACTAGAAAAGCACTATATAATTACAGTCCATTTACAATATTTTATTGTATCTAAGAAATAGTGCACATTAGTGGTTTGTCCTCCACTAATAAACTACATTTACTTAGTAAAAGCTACGACTCTCTTGAGATTTGAAGTATCTGCTTTGAGTCCTCTGATAATTCCTTAATTATGATAGGTCAAAAAGTCAGATGTAATTACATCAAGGTCCTAACTCTGACTTGTTTAGATAGTAGTGGTAGATACTAAGATAATAAAAATTTCAAAATAGACATATACAGGTATCAACACACGTTTGTTCATTAATGTGAAAAGCTCAAATCAGCCCAGTGCTTGGGGGTTTCAGTCTCAGTGTCCCAGTTGCCTGTCGTCATATGTGCTGTACCTCTTGACATGGATACGACGAACACGCTCACGAAGCTCAGCTCCCCCCGACACTTCCTCCTCCTCACTGAGAGAGCCACAGTTGTTATAGCTTCTACGAGTAGCCTCCAGCAGGGAGTTGTCAGGCAGTGGCATTGTCTCATACAACAAAGTGTTAAGAGTCTCTTCATAGATACGAGCTTCAGGAAACTCCACCTAAGGCAAAAAGACCCAGATACCATTTCTACATTGTGTGGAGAAATCGTCGATATGAAGACATACCGCTCAAGATTATACATTTCCCAATACAGCTTTGAGCAGGTGAGAAACCTGGTTATGCATATGTCAAATAAAGAGATGCATACATATAATTTGTCTACTTTACCTTTTCATAAATAACATTTGTGACTTCCCAAATTCTCACCTTGGTCTGTTTCTTCTCTGTGGCATAGAAAATAGAGGTGCAGCACACCTCAGCCAGTTTGCGTCCCTGACCATAGAAGGACCAGCAGCAGATCTCATCACCAATTACATCTTTGATGAAGAGGACGCGGCCATTGAAGCTGAGAGAGAGCCTATCGAAGAGCTCGATATTCTTCAGCAGGTTGTCGTCTGAGTTACTGTGGACACATACGGAATCGTTTACTCTAGTCTGTGGCTCATTAAGGCTGTCAAAATTGCCCCAAAATGACATTTGAATATTCGCTCTAAAAAAAACACATAGTTTCGAACCATTCGAATATATGCGCATGCGCAATGCGCATTATGTCTATAACAGGAGGACAAACTAATACAACGAGACATAACTACTTGTATAGGGATTTTTATTTCAGTTTTAACATAAAAAATACCTACACATTACAAAATAAGTAAATTAACTAACCGTAAAAATTAGACCGTAAAAAAAGACCGTCTCTCGCTTTCACAATCGAATCTCCGTTTTATTTTAATATTCGAATATATATTCGAATTTAGAATATTCGTTGACAGCCCTATGGCTCATTAGACTTTATTAGCTCAAAAAGTATAGAGTAGAGTATTTTGTAGAAGAAAAAAGACAATCTTTTATTAATGATGAAACGTGTGGGACTTCTGGAGGATCGCTTTCTCACCTGGTGTAAGAGTACTTGTTATTGCTTCTGTTGTACAACAGCTTCACCACAGGCTACCGAAGAAAAAAAAAGATTCAATATCAGGATTTCATTATTTCAATATCTAAATGTACCAATTATAAATCAACTTTAAGTTGACATCAGCCATTAGGTCAGATTACGAGGTGCGATCAAAAAGATCATAGAATATGCCTATAACAAGCAAAAACTGTACCCAATTTTAATTCGGACCCTTTAAAGTAGTCACTGTGTGCAGTGCTTCCAGCACCACT